ATCTAGCCATGTCCGTCTGTCCGTCTGTCCGTCTGTCCTTCTGTCCGTCTGTCCATCTGTCCATCTGTCCGTTTCTACCCAAACTAGTCTCTCAGTTTTGAAGCTATCTGAATGAAACTTTGTAGTTAGTCTTTTATATACTCTCAGTCGTATATATGTCGGAACGGGCCGGATCGGACGACTATATCATATAGCTGTCATAGGAATGATCGGAAAATTTTTACAAAACAAATTTTAACATTTTCAGTTTTCAACAGTATTTAATCAAATTTGAGATATAGCTATTTTATTATACTCTTCAATTTTGTGTAAAATTTTATGAAAATCGGACTACTATATCATATAGCTCCCATAGGAACGATTGAGAAATTAATACAATTAAAAATTACAACTATTTCAGTTTTAAACAGATCATCATCAAGTTTGAGGTGTAGCCATTTTATATTAGTCTTAAATTTTGTGTAAAATTTCATGAAAATCGGACGACTGTATCATATAGGTGCCAAACAAACGATCGTTTGATGTAGAGGAAAAATGCAAATCTGTGAACTGGAAATATAATATGTTTAGGTGAATGAAATGAAAACAGGTGTTACTTCATTGGTTTTAATCATAAATATATATAATTTATATTGTAGGGATTCCTACTCATAGAAGTTCAAGGTAAGTACACTAATCATATATTAAAAACTTATTTTATATACAAAAAAAAAACATGAATAATTTTCTTAATACCTTTGAAGTTAGCTAAGTATTAAGAGGTCAAATATTAAATATATCATAACTAAGCCAAAAATGCATTAATTTCAGTTTTTATTAGGGTAACAAATCTGCATACTCAATTTAAAAATTAAAAAATTCAAATTTTCGTCAATTTTTCACCATTTTAACGATACCCCTTATAAAAAATTTAAAATTGTCAAAAAATTTGAAAAAATTAAATTTATGCCGCACCTGGCTAGATCGATTCGGCTGTTGATGCTGATCAAAAATATATATGAATAATAGGATCGGAAATGACTCCTTCACTAAATTTTAAGCTTTCGACTGAAAGATAGGCTTTGCTTAATTATTTGGTACATAGAGCGCTCTCCTCTGCGATTCTCAAGTCTTACACTTAAGCAAGGCTCTAGCTAGAGGAAGTTTAGTTTTCTTCTTCTTCTTTTATATAAATTACTAATTTAGTGTTTGGTGGTTGATAGACTTTGATCAAGTGGATGTGGCAACCATGGCTAGATCGAGTCGGCTGTTGATGCTGATCAAGAATATATATGAATATTAGGATCGGAAATGACTCCATCACTAAGTTTCAAGCTTTCGACTGAAATATAGGCTTTGTTTAACTATTTGGTACATAGAGCGCTCTCCTCTGCGATTCTCAAGTCTTATACTTAAGCAAGGCCCTAGCTAGAGGAAGTTTAGTTTTCTTCTTCTTTTTGTGTGTTTTTTATATAAATTACTAATCTAGTGCTTGGTGGTTGATAGACTTTGATCAAGGGGATGTGGCAATCATAAAAATTATAGTTTTCTTAATTAAGGTAAGACGTTAATAAAATATCTATTGATAATTGAAACCAAAACAAGGCCCAAAAAAGTCAAGATACATGAAAATATGGTTTATATTAAATTATTGTTTAATTACCATACCCTTGGCTGTATTGACTATCTTATTATTGATCTCGAAAAGTCTTCCAAGCTCTCTTTAAGAGCCGTGATGATCATGACGAGCGGGGATATGGTGTCATTTATTTGTTTATAGTAAAGTATACTTAACTCCCGAAAATAGTTTATTCAGCACAACTTACTAAACAAAGAACACAACAATGGTGATGATCGAAACTGCTCAATATAAAATATATAGTAATAAGTTGATCTATATTTGTAAAGCAAATTTTTAAGAATTGGTATGCTTTTAAATAACGGAAAGTTAACATATTTCAAGCAATGCTTATATATAATTTTTGCAAAAGTAATTCTTCACACAAAAACCCGCTCAAAAAATAAGGATTTTAAGCTTGCTAATATAAGCCTATTTAGGATTTTTTTTCCTTGTTTGTTTCCTTTTCTTTTTTTATACCCTTGCAGGGTATTATAATTTCAGTCAGAAGTTTGCAACGCAGTGAAGGAGGCACCTCCGACTATATAAAGTATATATATTCTTGATCAGGATCAACACCCGAGTCGATCTAGCTATGTCCGTCAGTCCGTCTATCCGTCTGTCCATCTGTCCATCTGTCCGTTTCTACCCAAACTAGTCTCTCAGTTTTGAAGCTATCTGAATGAAACTTTGTAGTTAGTCTTTTATATACTCTCAGTCGTATATATGTCGGAACGGGCCGGATCGGACGACTATATCATATAGCTGTCATAGGAATGATCGGAAAATTTTTACAAAACAAATTTTAACATTTTCAGTTTTCAACAGAATTTAATCAAATTTGAGATATAGCTATTTTATTATACTCTTCAATTTTGTGTAAAATTTTATGAAAATCGGACTACTATATCATATAGCTCCCATAGGAACGATTGAGAAATTAATACAATTAAAAATTACAACTATTTCAGTTTTAAACAGATCATCATCAAGTTTGAGGTGTAGCCATTTTATATTAGTCTTAAATTTTGTGTAAAATTTCATGAAAATCGGACGACTGTATCATATAGGTGCCAAACAAACGATCGTTTGATGTAGAGGAAAAATGCAAATCTGTGAACTGCAAATATAAATATGTTTAGGTGAATGAAAAGAAAGCAGGTATTACTTCATTGTTTTTAATCATAAATATATATAATTTATATTGTAGGGATTCCTAGTCATAGAAGTTATATCTGCAAGGGTATATAAACTTCGGCGTGCCGAAGTTAACTTCCTTTCTTGTTCTGTTTTGAGTTTCTTCTTTTTTGCTTCCCAAAAGTACGTTAAATAATTAAGCGGCATTGTGAAAGTTAACTTCAGAGGAATAAAAATTATAGCTTTACAGCTAAGTACTGATACGATACTTCCATGATTATTAAACAACCCCTCAAATGACCAACATAAGTACCAACTTCAGATCGACTTTCTGCGCTAATCGAACAATGCCAGCAATTACACAACTCTCGACAACACTTATAGCTTCCATTCAATCTAATCTGAAGAGTATTTACAGCCAATATTGACCCACAAAAGGGTCGCATAAAGCCCGGTTCCCCTTGCCCTCGGAAAGGGATTACTAATTGCTGGGATAATGTGGGTTGAACACGCCAAGCTGGAAGGAACAACACTGATTTGCAGCTATGGAAACAAAAGAAGGACTATTTCACCGGATGATTGCTAATCAACGGAAAAGATATTATTCGAATTGGATCTTATGAACATAACACTACCGATTTATGGTATTTGCTTGGAGCTGCGATGTATCGTATAACCGGCATTTGCATAATGAGTTGGCCATTTTATGAGCCATATAACCTCTGCCACTTGCCACGTGACGTAAAAGCCATAAAGGTCGATGGGATCGGGAGTATGGGGACATGGGGCTTGGACCTGAAGAACGGGGAAATGGGGAAATGGGAAAAGCGGAGGCGAGTTTCCCTTGCAGGCAAAGTTAATTGAAAATGGCTGTGGAAAAGCAAACAAATTCCTCCAGGATACGCCCGGCACCTTTGGCATTTTATTTGCCAGGCATATTTGATTACGGGCTCCTTTTCATATCAGGTGTCAAAGGAAGCCATCTCCTTCAGCGCAGAACTTTTTAGCATTTCCATGTCAAAGCATTGAAGCGCGTTGCGTTGCGTTGAGTAGAGTTGGGTTGAGTTGAGCGAAGGAAAAGCCATTGAGACGCCTTTTCCCTGATGCAGACCTCCTGCATCAGTTTCCCCGCAAATGCATCTTCGAGAGCCTTGCGGCACACGCCGCATCATGCCACATGCCAGATGCGGGTAAGGATCTGCAGGCTGCGCATCCTGGCAGCGGACACGTGAAACCATCATCAATCTGGGAGCACTGCCAACGACAGTTTTAACGACTTCTTGCGGATTACTTCAAACAAAATAACCACTTTGTAGTAGAAATTTTATGTCGGCCCCATTGGTGTTGATGGCTTTGGCTTTCGCTACGGCTACGGCTCTAGATCCAGCCTGCCATCCCACATCCCAACCGGATTCCGCTGCATTTGGCCAAAGTTTTGCTGCGTGCCACAAAGTTTACCCTTCCTCCGGTAGCCAGGATAACGGAATACGGGATACAAAGTCCTCCGCCACCGCTGCCGCAGTGCAAATTGCCGGACTCCCAAAAGAGCAACAGCCCCCAGGGAGGGCCGGGAGAATAAATATTTATTGATACTGCAGCCACGTGGCATAATTTGCCTATATAACCAGATGCAGTAATTCCAGCAGGACAACCGCTCTCACCCCGCATTCGCATCCTTTCCCCCATGCAGTGGGTATAGTCAAATGGGGCAACTGACTTGGAGAATATTTCGAGAGAATTTTGTGTTATGCCAAAGCAATCTTGAGCTCTATAATTCAATTTCTTGGTAAGAGCCAAGGCCGGACAAGCATTAATATTTATGGAAAAGAGCTGAAAATTTATGTGCAACATGGTTTTTTGGGAAGTTTAGCGATTAATTAAGTCCTAGCATTGAACTATTAACAGAAACAGACTTCAAACTGATTAGATAATAATAAATTTATATGAATTTGAGATATAAAGAAAGGATAATAAAGAAGGAAAGTTTGGTTTTTATGATTACGAATAATAATTTAATTTATTTCACATTATCGATTTTCTCTAGGATTCCTTTAAATTTGGCAAATTAATGTCAATGTTTTTATATTATAGTTTATATATTAGTTATTACCCAAAAAAAATAAAGTTTAGAGTTTTATATAAACCTTTGCCTGAGACCATAAATTATACATTCTACATCAGTGGCGCCATAAAATACCATTTTGTGTGTAAATTTGGCAACTAAAAAAATCGTTACATTTCGAAAAAAGCTGATTTTGCAAACCAATTTGGAATGTTCAAATGATTAAATATAAATCTATATATTTATTTAGAAAAGCCCCTGCTTGCAGAGCTTAATCGAAAATGCCCTCTTCCTGGGCCTTGTTTACTAGGGCCTTCAGTCCAGCTGTGACTTCGATGCCCACTTCCGTGATCTGGTTGGAGGGCAGGAAGAAGCCAAAGGTGCCTTTGTCCCTTAGCTCTACGGTGCAGGTGAAGGGGATGTGCTTTACGCCATAGGCCCAGTCCTTGGCAGCTCCAGAAACGACATCTAAGGGGGTTAATTAAATTCGTGAACTCCTGCATATTCTGCTTTAAATTCCCAATTTTATACTCACAGTTCAATAGACCGCTAGCTCCATAGGTAAAAGTAGAACCATAGACTTCGGCAGCCGCATCCGAGAAAGCGGCGGCTATGCGTTTCATCTGTTCGTAGTTCGGTGGGAACTCGGTGTTCGTGTGTCCATAGGGCAGCAGGACATATTGTCCATACGCATGGAAAGCCATATACGAGCGGATATATCCATCATCGAAAGAGCTAACAAAGTCCTGCAGGGATAGGATCTCTACCTCGGTGTTGGGCTCCTCCCCGCCGAACCAGTGATCGCAGGGCTCATCGATATTCCAGCCAGCACCGCCCCAATGGTAGTCAAAGTTCCGGTTCATGTCGATTCCATAGCAAGCTCCCGTAGTATTCATGTGGCCATTCGGACGACGGTTCTTACGCCACAGACGCTCCACCTCGTGGGTGTAGACAAAGCCATCCGGATTCACCATCGGCACCACAATCCAGTCGTACTCCTCGCTCAGGCGCTGCAGCTCCGGATCTTCGGAGTTAATAAGCTGGTTCAGCAGGAAGGTGACGGTGGCGGAGGAAATCCACTCCATGGCATGGATGTTGCCCTCCAGAAGGATGGCCTTGTTGCCCGATCGCTTAGACAGCCTTACGCTCTTGATGTCGCGACCCTCGTGCGATTTGCCAATCACTTTGCACTCCAGGTAATCGTGGGCAGCGCACTGCTGATCCACCCAGTCGTAGATGGTATCCAGGGTGTGGTATGTCTCCCACTCCATGTGGGAATCATCGCCGACAGAGGCCTCATCCAGCAGTCTGTAAAGAAAAAAGGGGCAAATATTTACCTATTTGCAAACAATTCCCGTTTTAAATTAACTCACTTCTGCAGATCCTCAACAATCACTTGATAAGCAATCTCCAGGAAGTTGAGGGTATTTTCCAGTGATCTCTGGAACAGAGGCCCTACTATGAGGTTGTATGTACGTCCAGGGCCAGCGAGCTCGTTGAGAAAGTGCACCTTTAATGGCTTCCATTATAATCTCTTTTATTATATCCTCTCATTTTCACTTACAGTGATGTGCTCTTGAATCTTCCGAAGCTCCTCCATCTGAAGATCGGTTTCTATGGTCACCTGGTAGACCTTAAAGTTGTCATAGCGCACAGCCATGCGTCCTGGAGCGGATTTTCCCGCCACCAGGCCCACGGTCAAAAGACCAATCAGGAGGATAAGTAGTCTCATTGTATATGGAGGTTCGAACGTTACTGTGAGGCGGCCAGATTCGGGCAGGCTTTTTATAAGCTCCAGAAGTGTCCACTTCAGGAGGCGACCTATCTATTCCTGATAGGAGAGAGCTGCGATCAGTCATCTGGCTTGTGTCTTCGGGATCTTATCGCCACAGAATCTACGACAAAGTAATCTATGGCCTATCATTCAATGGATAATTGGGAAAATATTCCGATCAAAATTTATAAATGAAACAATGCTTTAGCAAGTGGGTGCCTTATCTTAGATTTTTATAATTGAATTCTTTTTTAGGCGTCTGCTCGTGAAGAAGCACTTCCAGAAAAGCTAATAGAATGCATTGTCACAACTGAAGATGTCCTGAAGTGATTGTCTGGCGTTGCAGAGTTTGTTTAGTCAAACATTTTGTTGCGAAATGAAAGCATTCAATTAATCAGACAGGAAAACCACTCCAGCAATAAAACAGGCACAGTACTTGAGAACATTCGGGAGAATCCAAAGGGCGGCCCTGACCCATTCTAGAAAACACTCTTCTTAGAACCCTTAAAAGTAAAGAAGCCTTTCCAAATCAGTGTTGAATATTTTTCTTTATCAAGATAAGTAAGAGTCTAGTTTTTTACGTAAAAATATATAGTCCTCAAATTTGTGGATCCTTTTTTGTGGAAAGAATAGAAACTACCAAAGATTTTTTTATCTAATAAGCAAATATACGTTTATTTAGCCATTTATAAAATTTAGTATTTTAATATTTTTTAAACTCAAATTTGAAATTATTTTAACGGATAAACTAAAATAAACTCTAGTGATTTGAAGCTGTGCTAGATTCTTAGCGGAGTCCCAAACCATATGTGGAGAGTTCGTTTCAAGAATGAGACTGATGCGACTGAAAATATCTGTTAATTTACGCTCTTTCTGTCTGGCTGAGAGCTGATTTGTTAATGAATTTTACTTCCTACAGTTAAATCGTTTTATAGACGTGTTAGATGTAAAATGTGAAATAACAGCATCCGTATTCAGAGTGACCAAAACAATTCTACATCTTAAGTAAAAATGTTAAATAACAGCTTCGGGATTCAGAGGGACTAGAAACAAAATATCAACAAAACCACAACAAAATATCGATATACTGGTATTTTTACATTTTTTTAACAACCAAAAATCGATTGACCCCTGAGAGAACCCGAGAGAGAGTTATGTTAATTAACATCCCCCCGCCAGCACCCTAGAGGGAAGAGATCGGATATGTTACGCATTTTACTTTCACATGAGAATTCGCCGCAAAAATGAGAATTCGACCCCATGTATCTGTAAACGTGTAAAATGGTCCTGTAGACGTGTATGACGTAAAATGTTAAGTAACAGACTTAGAGTGACCAAACAAAATATCGAAAAATATCATAATTCATTTTCATTCAACAACCCTAGTCAAATTGTTTTCGTTTCTCACCGAGCTTTAGGTTTTTCAGCCATTACTCAATTTCCAATTCCATCACACGTGCACAATAATCAGTTAATCGCTTTGCAGCTAGGCAGGTCCGCAACTATAACTCGGCACGAAAAACACAAAGGCTACTGACAAAATTCGGAATTACATAAGAAACGACGAATGGCTAAGCGAAAATAATACCAATCGGAGATTAACAACACGTAGTGAGAATTTCGTCAGCCTTTTCTGGAAGCAGCTAGAGCGCCAAATTAAACAAAAGTCAAATAACTGGCAGAAAACGAGTGAAAATATGTGCTGGGCAACAACAAAGCAAAGGCAGAAATGTTTAAACTGTAGCAGCAGCAGCGGCCAAAACGAAAGCAACAAAAACCAGAGGAGTACCAACAACAACTGTGCGCCTAGCAACAAGACAAATTCGGCGACCGATTTCCTTTGATTTGCAATCAGCAAATTCGCCCAAAAGCCAAAGAGTGTAAATAGCCCGTAGTTTTAGTACAATTCCCAAGCATCGCATCGCATCGCAGCGCAGCGCACAAGTGATATCACCAACAATAATACAGAAACGGAGCACAAGATCCCTCAAGCACAATGAATACCATGAAAACCAGCGCCTCGGGCAGCCCCAAGAAGTTCAACGTCTTCGCCCACGTCAAGTACGAGCACTTGGTGGCAGGAGTTTCCGGCGGAGTGGCCTCCACGCTGATTCTACACCCTCTGGATTTGATCAAGATCCGATTTGCAGGTGAGTCATCGACGATTTTAAGAGGGCTTTCGGAAATGCACTGGAATAAATGGTTTCTGGAGGATAATCAATGGAAACCTTTGAGAACTGTATTATTACGCGTGATAATGATTATATTTTTAGTCTTGTAGGAGTCCCCAGAACAATATTGCAAAAGATATTTTCACAAAATACACCAATGTTTATTTTGCTTATTTTATTTCCTCAAAAAACTTCTAGAAGCACTAAATTTTTAGGATTTATTTCCCATTTGAGGCTTCAAAACTTTCCCATTTTGTTTCTGTGCAGCAGTAAAGATACACCCGGCACGTGTCGGGGTATCGGGGGGAAATCGTCGCCAGCCTGGCTGCAGATTACTGTGTTGCACTCGCACACACACTCACAGTTTGTATGCGCAATGCATTAAGGAAATTTTCCATGGAAAATTTGAGACGCTTGCGCGTGTATCCGAGTAAGTGACGCGCTCGACAGTTTTTCGCGCTTTGTATATGTAAACAAAACTTTAATGCGGCCAGGGGCACGTGAACTAAGTTTTATTCTTATTCGAGAAAATTATTTATGAGTTTGTTGACAATTCCAAAAAGAACAAGCACTTGAATTAGCCTCTAATCTAGAAATTCCAGTCGAATAAAAGCAGTTTTCGCTATTGTTTACTCGCTTTTATTTTTTATAGTTGCTTCGGCCAAAGATCGATATTAACTATCAGTTATGTTTATTGATGTTATGCAGACCCTCGTCAGCTGACTGAGGTCTTTGTCTTATGCGTTGTTTGCTTAAAACTATAGCAAATCGGAAACTGAATCATATCTGTGTCCTCGATTGCGCTTCATGTGCGAAATACGTGAACAATATTTCCGTATAGTCTGGTGCAAAATACCAAAACAACAATAATTATAACAACAACAACAGCAGCAGCAGCAGTATGAGCGAGTTTTTTGTTTATTATACATATATTGTTGCTTTGGCTTTTTGCTTGAACGGAATCAGCTAAATGCAAAGAGTCGTCGTAAAGTGAATATGTAAATTCACCAGAAAATATGATCAGTAAACAAAAACACCCCACGCGTTGTTTATGCGAATAAAAATCACACCATGCAAAAATATTGTAAGCTGATAAGCAAACTCCGTCCAAGTTAGAGGAAGGTTAGGAAACCCGGAGCTCTGGAAGCTGTTTACTTTTGAAATCTTCTGAATCTTCTGGGAAGATCATCTCGAATAATAGTTATTCCAAGTTATTAAAGTCTTGGGAAAAGCCAAAGCCAGGTTATTTCCCTTGGATGGATCTCCTTGAGTCTTCTCTTGGTGCGGGATTTGGCAACAGCTGTTTTCTATTGACTTGCGCAAGGCCTTTTTAGACGATGACGCACTTGTGGCCCAAGCACGAAACCCGTTTATCTTGCTTTTGCTTTTTGCTTTTCGAGTGCTTTTTGCTCTGCTCTTGCTCTTTTCCAATCACGTGACCACTTGACTTGACTGTACATTGCGTTAGCTTTGTTAACGGCAACTTTCAGCGGCAACTGCTGCCCGGTTAATGTGGCACAAGCAACAGCTAAAACGAGTTCCCACTGTTGCCAAGCGGGAAGTGTGCTGAATCACCACACAGCGACCTTATCGCGCCGACCAATATCGAGTGCATGTCGAAAAACTCATTACTCTCTGTGTCCGAAGCCAATGCGCTTCATCATAATCCACCAGCCAAATCCCATCCCGTTCGAATGTGGCAACAGGCAGAGCCTAGTTGGTTAGTCCAGTCCCGTTTCAAGGTCACATCTGAAAGGGGCAGCTAAAAATAGCCCAGAAATGGAGGCAACCATGACGACGACGAGCCCCTTTCTTGGCCTGGGCTTGCGTCTGTTGTCAGGCCAGATCTTATGATTGCCATACATATATACGAATATATAGACTAATATAAATAGCAGCTACAGGCAGCCGCTGCTAATGGACGCGTAAACATGTAGAGAACTCGCTTTCGAATCTACCCGCTTATCGCATCCGCTGGCAATTAACGCTATCTATCTGATGATTTTTTTGGCGAAAACAACTTGGGCCACGGGCTGGAGTCAACAACTGATTTCCCCAACGTACAGTTGCCTAGTATATACCATTGTCATTCCAAGAAAATATATACCCAGAATGACGTCGACCCATATGTTTACACAAGCCCTTTAGTACCAGTATCCATAATCCATAATCTTGCGTGCCAGCTCCAAGGTTGCCTACCCGTCTAGACGTGTGTTTATCATCATCATTAACGAGCGCGTTTCGATTGTCTACTTGCAGTGAACGATGGCCGGACAGCGACGGTGCCGCAATACCGAGGATTGGGCAGCGCCTTCACCACCATTTTCCGGCAGGAGGGTTTCCGTGGCCTCTACAAGGGCGTCACCCCCAATATTTGGGGTTCGGGTTCCTCCTGGGGCCTGTACTTTATGTTGTAAGTACCTAGTACTTCTATTTCCAAGAATATTTCAAATTAATCTATATTTCATCATCTAGCTACAACACAATCAAGACGTTTATTCAGGGCGGCAATACCACCATGCCTCTGGGCCCCACCATGCACATGCTGGCTGCCGCAGAGTCCGGAGCCCTCACACTAATGCTGACCAATCCCATCTGGGTGGTAAAGACGCGACTCTGCCTGCAGTGCGATGCTGCCAGTAGTGCCGAATATAAGGGAATGGTCCATGCTTTGACTGAGATCTACAGGGCGGAGGGTGTGCGAGGTCTATACCGGGGCTTTGTGCCCGGCATGCTGGGTGTCTCCCATGGCGCCATCCAGTTCATGACCTACGAGGAGCTGAAGAACGCGTACAACGAGTACCGCAAGCTGCCCATCGACACGAAGCTGGTGAGTACGCGAACGTCACAGAAGGGGTGTCCAGATATACATATATTCGCAGTCATGTGATGATCTGCGCGTGGCATTCACACAACGGAATATATACTCATTTCGGGGGGAACAAATGTGATCAGAAATATAGCATACAGTATGAAAACAAGTTTATATCTAAGAGAATTTTATAGCAAAACAAAATCAGTCTGAGAATTATACACAAACATTTCTGAGAAACTAGAACCTCACTATGTGCTCTTATATTGATGACCACATCTGTATAGAAATCTGAATATATCCGGTGTGATGACGTCTCTGCCATTTGGCAGACAATCAGAAAATACCAAACGCCCCCATTAATATATGTATTCTCCCTCTCTTCATCACACAGGCAACCACCGAGTACCTAGCCTTTGCGGCCATCTCCAAGCTGATCGCAGCGGCTGCCACCTACCCCTACCAGGTGGTAAGAGCACGCCTGCAGGACCATCACCATCGCTACAATGGCACCTGGGACTGCATCAAACAGACTTGGAGGTACGAGCGCATGCGCGGTTTCTATAAGGGTCTGGTGCCCTACCTGGTCCACGTCACGCCCAACATCTGCATGGTTATGCTGATCTGGGAGAAGCTGACTAGCTAGATGGAGTATTACACCCAATCACACACACAGATAGCAACTAGAGCCTAGAATCTAGAATCTGACAAGAATTTAAGCTAAGCTAAGCCCCTAGAATACACGAATCTTTCTAGCTTCCCCCGATGATGTGCAGCTATAACTAAATCAGCAGAAAATGACAAGAACTTATTCTGTATTATTGTTGTAATTAGCACCATATACCTTAGTCCTAAGCTTAATTCCATAGTTAGTCTACTGTACATCCCTCGCCCATTATGAAACTTTGAAAGTAACTTTGTTGTGATGGCACCTCGGCCCACGAAATGTAATTTCAGAGTCGCATTTCTTTGCACACAAACACATTTTAGTTGATAGTTTAGTTAAATTATTTATTTTGTAATGGCTTGGCAGTGTTGTTGCACAAGTCAACTGTTTAGTTGATACACAAAATTTCGTTTTGGCAAAAAGATTCTTCATAATTTTGCAAATGGTTTATAATTTTAAGGATAAACCTTGACACTTATGTAAATAAGCATATGAACGCATTGTGAACATCCCCCAACTAAGCCAAGCTGTGTGGAACAAATCCCAAAACCAATCAAATCAAATCAAGAAAAAATATCCGAAATTACTAAAATCTTTATTAAAAAGCCACGATGATGGTCATATCTCCGAAAGGAAAATAATGAAAGAAACTAAAGCAAACAAAACACTGACAGCGCGTCCAACCAGCGTCTTTTCATTTTGAATTTGGCCAAGGGCTAAGGGCAGCTTCAGTAAGTAGTCCGTGCTCCTTGCACTCCTTTACTCTTTGACCCCTAATTGTGCAGAATCTCTTTGCTAATCTGAAACAACAACAACTGCCAACGCCCCTCCGCGTACTGTAAGTAGTTTGTAGCCGCCGGTTCACATCCACTAACCCGCATCCCTGTGTTTCGTTCTCGTTGCAGATTCGAGGGCTTTGGCGGCTTCTACAAGGGCCTAAAGCCCAGCCTGACGCGAGTCGTGCCCGCCTGCATGGTTACGTTCCTGGTATACGAGAATGTGTCGCATTTCCTGTTGGCAAAGAGGAAAGAGGCTGAGAAAGATATCGTTTGATTTCCTTCCTCCAATATTCCTCTTAGTTTTTATAAGATAAGGATGAATATACCTCAGTGCGGCGTCTGTGGAAGGAGCAGTTGCTTTCGTGTTGAGCATGCGCAGCTGCTCTTGAAGTTATAAGTTTAATTCGTCGGTTGTTGAATGATTCTCTAGATTGTTTAGGGCGTTCCTGAGCAATATCAGCCTGGGAATGTTCATTGGATTCTGACGAAAAGCCAAGCCATATGTAAACTAAAATTGTAATGTGATTGATTTATGGCACGTAGCTATAATAAATTATTGGGAAAATATACCAAATTGTTAAGTAAAAAATTGAGTTTTCTATGAGGGTTTTTATTATTTTGTGTGTCTTTTTAAAACCAAAAAGAGAAATGTTTAAACATATCGAAATATCGTTTGTCAGTATTTATTTATAGCATATATAAATTAAATTTTTATTTAGACTTTTGTTTAAAATATTTATCCAGTATAATTCCTTATTCATATTTAAATAAAAAGCATGGATGCTTTAAATTTCATTTAATATTATTAATATTAATAAATTAAACATTATATTATTATTTTATAATTAAAACACATACTTAATGATCTTGCAATCTACAAGTGTTTACATAGCCCGAAGTTGTCAACAAAATATATACATTTGCAACTTAAGCTTTTAAAAGCAACAATATAGGATTAAATAGGAAATTAATCAAATATTTGTTTGAAATTTGAATTTATTGCGCCCAAAATCGGAACCGTTCAACGGCATTTCGCCCCCAAAGCTCTTACAAAAGCTATTTCGTTTTCAGTTTCATCCAAATGTCGAGCAGCGTTGCCCATTTAGTTTTTTCCACCAAAGTAACAAACTTTGATTTAACTCCAAATTAATAAAAAATTCTGGAAAGGGGAAATGTATTTAAATTTAAATTATATTAGTTTAAGATTTAAATAAATTAGTTGTATTTTTAATTAAATTTTATTTTTTCTGCATTAAGGTTCACCTATTTCCCGACAAATTTAGCCTTTTTTCTATCTTTAAAACCGACAGCACTGGCTTTCGGTTTCATTCGGCGGGTGCCGAGCTTTCCGAAGTACTTGTCCGAATCAGTTTCTCATTGGAATTACTTAAGTGTGGACGTCGGCGACGATACCTGCAATTAATTATTGTTGTTGTGCACCGTCTCGACTGTTATTGTTGTTATTTGCGTATTTTTGCGTGTCCGCCAATCGAACGTGTGTGAATTTAATTTACGGGTCGTGGAATTAGCGCCCAAAATTGCTGGAAATACCAACAAAACTACAACAAAACACCGTTTAAGTCCTGAGCAAGAATAAGTGAAGTGGCGGCTGGCTCCATTTGCATTGGACATAGGAAAACCAGTTCCAAAACGAATCGAGTGCACAATTTGTCCAAAAAAGTGCAACGGTCGAGTTCAACAAACCGATCCGGATCGCAGCCAGGCAGCTACGACGCGATAGCCCCTGAAATAGCAGTGAAATTCGACAATTAATAAATAAATACCAATTCTCTGATAAGTTCAAGTGCAGACAGGGCTTTGTTTACCGTTAGTCGGGAGTGCGAGAAGGAGAACACTAGAGCCATAGACCACATGTTGCCCGGCGGCATCTAGAGAGTGAGAGAGCGAGATAAACAGAGTGAGGAGGAGTTGGAGGCAGCTTAGATAACGCGCGTGTGTGAATGACCTTGACTCGGCCGGAGTGTGATAAACCCGCGACGAGAGGTCAAAGAACAGATCGCCCACGCACATTGCTGCATGGCAACCAGCGTCATCCGGAGCAGCGTTGTCTCGACCTCCGCCGGACGCCGTAACCTCTGCGACTGCCCTTTGGCACTAACTCCATCCAAGTCCAAGTCCGCAGATCATCTACCAGAGCTGATAATTGGTTGCGCCTGCCTGCGCTGCCAATATCTGGCCAAGGACCTTGACAAATCCAGTGAGGAGGATCACTTGCCCGTGGAGCACAAGCATCACCCGCTGAGCACCGGCTCTCTGGGCGCCCTCAGCGCCAAGGAGTCGCCCATCTTTCAACGCCGGCAGCTTTGGTTTCCGGATCCGATTCCGGTTACAGTACCGCTCAGCTCCTCGCAGTTCTCGCTGCGCAGTGCCGCTCCTGCGTACACCGAATCCCAGCCAGAATTGGACCTCGGCGCCGTTGAGGCGCTGCAACTGGAGGCGGAGATGCCCTCGGGGAATCGGGGCCACATGGACATTAACCGGAACAACGGCTACCTGCACAACGGAGTGAGTATCGAGATTACCATAACGAAGTGCTACTGGGTTTAGCCACAGAACCTTAAAATGGGGAAGGGTACACTCAAAAAAAGTAAAGAGCTATTATTCTTAGTCAATTTAATGGTTGAGTTCACAATTTCAAATCGAATTAAACCTTATTTTTAGCCCATTTAACTAAAAATATTATTTTAATTAATTCTTTTCTGGAATCCGGGAAATTTAGGAATCTTAGTTAATTTCTAAAAAGCTTTTTTTTTCGATTTCCCTAGAATATATTTTATAGATTTTGAGTCTTAAAATATTCCGCATATTTCTTCTGAATTTAAATTTGTATTTTTATTTCTGTGGTATTTAAAGGTGGCTGAAACGTTTTCTTAAAAAGTGCACTGTATAAAGTTTACAAGTTTGAAAACGTTGACTTTTTAAATCAAATTCAATGCCGTTTAATGCAATAAGGCAAATTTATAAATTTTTTCGCAATTGTGGGGGGAATGCCCAATAATAAGTTGGCCAAGTGTAGCAATGCTTTTCGTTTTTTTTTTTTTTGCCTTGTCAGGCCGTTAACACAGCCAAGTACGCTGTACTCATTAGCCACAAAAGTCGCTCTCTGAGAACTTGGAGTTAACTCATAGCCCCCACCAGCTGGAATTTTCTGAGCGAAACAGATGCCGGGAATGCTGAATAGTCTGTGATTGTAGTCCAGCGCTCTTAGTGCGCAGTTTAATACCTTTTTCCGCCCTGGCACCCCTTTTATAGAATCAAAATAAGTCTATGGGTAATATCCAACAAACCTAGCCACATTTTCCCTGGCATTTAACAGCCAATTAAATGGAAATGAAATTGAAATCGTTGCCACAATTGAGTGAGAGAACCAGCAGAAATGTTGGAGCCGTAAACAAACCGATAAAATCAAAAACAATGCGAAGCCACAAAATTTCACTCTCTTGGTGGCTTTGACAAAGACTTTGGATACGCATTCGGATAGATAGAGTATGCGGATGGGCACGGGGGCGGGCAATATGTGGGTGTGTTCGCTGGGCTACTTAAGTGATTGCCGGTTGGCTAGATATAGATATCCGTTGTCGTTGGGAAACTATAATGGGAATTGAAGAAGGGCTGCCTGCTACCGTTTTGCCATACGAGACGTCACGTTTTAAGGTCAATTACTGGAGGGACTGACGAGTATTATAAGCGAAAGTCCCCCAGACTTTAATTAATGCCTGGCGTTTAAATTGTTGTCGCTTTGCAATTACACATCGCACATGTCTGTATTTCTCTTTGATGAATCACGATGTATCATTGCATTCTTTTTTGGCCACAATCTAATCAGGGCTGCCTTCATTTTCCTCTTTTCCTCCTCTCTTATTTTTTTTTTGCTGGTGACTCTATCGAGTGATAAGATATGAACTGGCACTCCACTCCGCTCCATGCTTCTGATAGTATGTCCAAAGTGTTCGTGTGCAGAGTCCATTGAGGAATCGGGATTTGCTGTCCCCGGAGCATCCTCCTCCTTATGCAATCAATCGGAAAACGAAACCCACTCTGCGCATCGTTGGCTGAGGCAATGCACTCCGTATTATTATTTATTGTTGACTTTACTTTTTTAATTCGCCAGCTGAGATTACATTTACATGACAATTGTCCGCGCTCCAAGCTGATAAGCATATGTATGTATAAAGCTTTAAAACTGGAGGAGAGTCACATGGTAGCGTTGCCTCTGCCCTGAAATCACGCAAACCCAGAGGTGTGTGATATGGACCTGGAAATTCCAATATCAACTATCTTTTATCGGGCTCGTGTCGGCATAAAGGCAAGAGAGGAGTTGTGCAATATTAACCTCTGTTTAATTGAATAATTTAAACAAATTAAAGATCTGTCTTTCAGTTTAGATTTTAGCTTAATTGTATCTATTATTATTTGAATTTTTAATACTTCTCAAAGTTAGATTCATTTCCCGTTTAATTTTAGATAATTATATAAATTTATTAGGTCTTAACATGACTGATATTTAATTTAGTATATATATTTCTCGACCAACTTAAACGTTAATTTACTTCCTACATTTTGTAGAACAATTTCGATAGCATACTTTGTGGCGCCATCAAAGAAAGAAAGATTACTTCGAACGATTCAACGATTTTCTCAAATTACACCGTTTGAAATATAATTTGTTTGGCAATAAATACGGCAACACAAACATTTTAAAACAACAAAAAACAAAATAAAAGTGTTGTGCTCCACATTGCTCAGTTCGACACTTGGCGTGAGGCATGCAACCGCTAGAGGTTCCTAACCATTCCATACCAGGAACTCAGGCGCATGTTTAGACCTCTTTTACTCTGTGTGGAAATGAAACCATTTGATGGCTAGCACGTGAAGATGGAGCAGGCTCTTGTGATTTCCATTTCGGTCTCCGATTTACTGCACAGGCCCAGGACTCCGCCGGGCATCTGGCATCCGTGTGGCTTTTGTTCGGAATGGGGTCGTCGGGGGTAATGGCAGGCGTTCCAGGGACCTCGCTTTATTGCGTGTAAACATTTGCTGCCACAAAAGGAATTCCTACACGTTCGACATTTATGCGAAAGTGAATTTCTAATGCTTTCGGTTTCTCCTCCCACTGAAAATATGTAGTTTAAAAAGAGGAGCAGGTCCCTCTGACTCCTCTGGAATTTATATGTTGGTGGAAAAGTGTTTGCTTTAAACTCCCATAAATTATGTAAGCTGTTGTCGGAGTTGATTCAAGTGTTGACTTGTCCTCGATTTATGGATAGCTGGGAGATGTAAACAACACTCTTGATTATATAGCCTTAAATCTGAAGTATAAAGTTTATTTAAAGTTATATTCTGTGGTAATTAGAACCAGGAACAATGAGCTGGGGACTCGATCCCCTTTCTCAATGAAACCACAAATCGGTCGTCTATTTTGGGATATCTAGAATCGAAATGAGTAAACAAGCAAAAAACTTCCGTGTATCTGGGCTAGGTGGGAGATATATCTTGCTAAATGTGGACATAGTATGTGTCTGCGTTTTGGGTTATTACTCGGTGTAATCGTATATGGACGCTGTAGAGCTGCAGAGCTCTCTTTCCCTGTCGCCACTCGGCTCTCTGCCCTGCGGCTAACCACGTTTTGTAATAAGCGTAATTCTATATAGTCACGTCGCAGCAGTAAGTCGACAATCGGCCAAGACACCACCCATCCATCCAAGCAGCCACCCAACCCAACCCAACCAAAGCCGGCTCGACGCCAGATTGATGTGTCGCCCACTTAATGCCGAGCGACTCTTTTGGGACAAGTTGATGCGGCAAATCCTCAGCTTAAAGGAAGCCCGCCAAGTGCAATGGAGCATGGGTCTAAGGCGAGTACTAAGTACTAAGTAGTGGCTGCTGCTAGGTCAGGTCCAGAAATGGACACTGCGCCCTGCTCCACTGACTGTGCCGGATGATTGATTGTGTGACACTCATCGGGCATCATGCATCACACATCACACATCACCTCATCATCACCCTGAGCCCAATGACAGAGCCCAGTGATTCGGGATCAGGGCTAGCCAGCCGGACAAGTGGCTGCCATTATTGGCTAGCTGACCATACTGGACATACTGGTCAATCTTTGTCCGGAGATTTCTTGATAAGCGGCTGCCCGGCGTTCAATCGGCGCATTCAAAGGCCCGCCGGCTCTTCTCACGCTCATTTCGCAAGCGGGACCAGACCCGATCCGACCACCAGGCAACCAGTGTTGGTAAGTGCACCTGGCCAGTTTTAGATGAGTTTTTCGTAACTGTAATGCTAAACCGTTCACCACAAACAAAACGACGGGGGGGTGGGGGACGGCAGGGGCCAACGGGGCGGATTAAAATTTATAAAAGCCTACACGGCGGCATTGGGGATTTCAGTGCGCGTTCGTTTTGCCAGCGCTGCGGTCACCGGATAACTGCAGGATCTCCTCACTCTCGGGGCGTCAAGGATCGCGATCAGGATTCGGATTTGCGGAGCGAATGGAAACCCTTGAAGAGCCGCCAGAGACCAGCCCCAGGTGAAAATATGCCCCACGTGGAGGAGCAGCAGGGAAAAGCCATAAAGCGAGTGGAATCGGAAACACTGGAGAAGGAATTAAGCGACAAGGGTGCTGACCCCAAGGAGGAGGTAGAAACCGGCGGCAAGATCAAGAGCCGTTCGAGATTCTCTGCGGCTTTGCGAAGCCTCTCCAAGCCCAAAGCCAAGAGGGAAAAGGAGACCGAGCGAAGCGTCGACAGGGCAGGGACCAGAAGCGCCGAGGAGGAGGAGGAGCAGGAGCAGGAGGAGGCGGAGGAAACCCCAGGGGATCTGGCGGATGTGGCCAGCTCCATCTCCACGGACAGCGGTGCTTTGACCAAGACCAAAAAGAAAAGTCTGACACGCCGCCTGCTCTTGGGTGGTCTCCGGAAGACTGGGAAGACCCCCAAGGTGCGTCCCCACAGCCTGGCCACCAGCGACGACCTCAGCGTGGAGCAGCTAGAGGTCTCATCCACACCCTCGTTGGCAGCCACAGCCACCGCCACCTCCTCGCCGGGCAGCAGCACTCTGCAGATCACCATCAGTGGCAAGAAAGTGGAGCCAGCACCAGAGACGGCTAGAAAGAGCGGCAAGAGTCGACCCAGGAGCGACACGGATTACCTGACACCCTCCGCGGGTGAGAAGAAAAAGAAAACCACTACCACAACGGTGACAACAAGAGACTCGAGCAGCACCCGCACCACCAAGCTCGTGGTGGCCAAGAAGAAGCAGTCCCAGACACAGCAGCAGCAAGAGAAGCAGCAGCAGCAAGGGAAGCCCCAGAGCCAGAGCTCCGAGAGAGAGTCCCCTGTTATCACCGAGAGCACGCGCGATACACCGCCCAGAGAGCGAGCACCAGCGAAGCCCAGTCGCGTCCAGACGGCGGTTCAGGTGGCTAAGTCTCAGTCTCAGTCTGCCAGCGGCACCGGAGCTGTTCGCAAGTCCCACTCCTCGAGCGGATCCAGCAAGAAGCTGGAATTGATGCAGCAGCAGCAGCAGCGCGGCCACCGCCACAACACCAGACCGCTGGCTGACCAAGTGAACGCCGAGCCCCAGCCTTCAGGGGAAAACCTCCAGCTCCAACTCCCTAGCCTATCCATAGCCACTTCCCAGCCAGCGGCCGACGACGGTATATCCTCGGCGGAGAGTGCCCAAACCCTTGGCAATCCCGCCTCCCCTGTAGTCCGTTTCGCCGTGGGCAGTGCCGTTCGCAGTCCCCTAAGTGCCTACGAAGCCGCCTTAGCCGCCGCCGCCAGTCAGCAGCCCAGCTCCAACGAGGAACCCAGCGATTCCAGTCTCCGACGACTCAGTTTTGCCCAGCAGCAGCTCATACTCGGCGACCACGACAGCATCGAGGGCAGACGGGAGACTCTGCACTACCAGTCGGTGGCTAGTGAATACCAGGACTCCGGTTCCGAGGAGGACAGCGAGGAGCGTGGTGCGGAAGCCAGCGGTCCCGAGAGTGCCAAGCCCATGCCGGCCTTCGGTGACCTGACCATGGATCAGGAAATGGAACCGGTAAGGTGTCGTCGCTGCCAGTTTAATAGTTTGCCAGCGGAGAAGCCCCACAAGTGTCGTGTCGTGTTGCGCATCGGTGTGCTCGTTCCCTTGGCTTGGATGTATGTCTATGTTGGGGAGAGTGTCATTCAACTGCGCGGGTGTTGCAAGGGGTAACTCGTCGCCAACTAACCAACAAATCTCAGTCTGAATTGGCAATCGGCTAGAGGAGAGGTGTAAATAATAACCAGCTTAAAGAGGTGTTCCTAAAGAGTCCGTCTATTTCAAAACTCTTTTTATGGAGCCTTAAAGTCCACAGTAAATTGCTATATTTATTGTTGCGTTAGAGGGGAGAAGGACATATAAAAAAAGGGTCTTAATTGCCATAAATTGCTTTAAAGGTCTTAAGAAAAGTTTATTTACCTTCCAAAAAATCATTTTGAACAATTTACTAATTGAAATTCCCTGTCCATTTTCTTTTCCAGGCCATTATGACATCCACCAGCGAAAAGCGTGAACATCTGTACAAGATTCTAGTCATTGGCGAACTGGGCACCGGCAAGACATCCTTCATCAAGCGCTATGTACACCAGTTCTTTAGCCAGAACTATAGGGCCACCATCGGTGTGGACTTTGCCCTAAAGGTGCTCCAGTGGGACGCCAATACGATAGTCCGCCTGCAGCTATGGGACATTGCCGGCCAGGAGAGGTTCGGCAACATGACGCGGGTATACTACAAGGAGGCAGTGGGTGCCTTTATCGTGTTCGATGTGACCCGCAGCGGGACCTTTGACTGCGTGAGCAAGTGGAAGGAGGATCTGGACTCCAAGGTGCAGCTGCCGGACGGCAGTCCCATACCATGCATCCTGCTGGCCAATAAGGTGGGTTTTTACCCTAAACTTTGACGATTAGAGACAGCTACCGAGAGGTGTTAATTCTTCATGTATTTCTCTCCAGTGCGACCAGGAGAAGCAGGGCATCATAACGCAGCCGGAGAAGATGGATGAGTATGTGAGGGAGAACGGATTTGCCGGCTGGTTTGAAACTTCCGCCAAGGAGAACATTAACATCGACGAGGCAGCCCGTGCTCTCGTGAATAAGGTGATAATCCGTGCTAATCCGTGGCCAAAGCTCAGCTAATCCCTTTCGTCTCCATGTCAACTCCAGATACTCATCAACGATAAGCTGATAACTGCCGATCTGGCCGACGGTGACAAGTTCAACCTGAACAGCACGGGCGACGGAGCCGGATCGGATGCCAAGAACAAGTGTTCCTGCTGACCTGGGACCGAGGTGCAGCGATTCAATTACCCATTCCCAGTCTGAGCGCGTCCAAGAGCGGTTTTCTGAGAGAGAAACGCCATGTGCCTATATTGTCGTCCCCTCCACGTTCATGTTGTTAGAAGATAGCGATAACTATGCTTAGGGTTTCAGCGTAACATTTGTCTAAGACTTAGCCTCATCATTCGAGCATCTTATCCCAGCCCCTTGCATCTCATCCGATCCCATCCCATCAGTTGTCATATCTTTAACACCCCGCCCAACCTCGTGCTGAGTGATAAGACTCCTACATTGTTGCATCGAGATCGGGGCCAGTGCGTGAATTTATATCGCCGTGGCACATGGCAGATACATAGCTTACCTACGCGTACACACCATTAATATTATCATTATTATCGCGGGGATTAGCCGAGATAGGCGAGATAGTGGGAGGGCAGCATCCTCCGTATCCATAGCATTCTGCATTTGTGTAAAATATGAATTCGTGCCGTGTTCTTGTTTTTGTTTGTTTTATTTGCCGCCTCTGGTGGCGAGATTGTTTTATCTTGGAATTATTACACACACACCACCACCACATACATGGTAACACACTCTGCCATCTTTATTTGCATTTAGATAACAATACGTACGTTTTATGCAATACGAAATAAAAAATAAAAATTTTTAATGGTAGTTAAGTTAAGCTGCGAGTGTTTTATTGGGTGTGGTCATTGAGGTTTGTATTTGAAATGACAATAATTCCATTGATTTATTATATTAAACCTATTTTTAAAAAATTGACTTGAAAATTGATCAAATCGATCAAAAACAGCTTCAATCAATTATCAATATGTAAGAATTTTTTGCTAGGGAAAGCTTATAAAAACTGTGAAAACTGTAAATAATTAGTTTATAATTTTCTTAAGTTTAGTTTGTTGTATTGGAATTTATTCTGAAAAATGATATGCCCTTTGAAATTTTGTATTAAACAGGTTCTTTAGCGGGAAATGAAAGTATTGTATAAGAAACTAAATTTCACCGTATATTTATTAATATTTTCAAGTAAAATTTCTTAGTAATTTCAAAAAGCTTTCCCCAACCCGATAATTTCCGTTACTTTTTTGGTATTTAGTTTGTCTGGTATTTCCGATAACCACAACTGCGGTATATATTTTTATCGAACACAGTATATTATATAAATAAATCGATTTATTTTGGTATTTACCTAAAAGAAAGTTGGTATATTTTACGGCACCAGCGGCGGTCACACCGGGCGATTAGCTTTGTTGCTGATAAATTGTTTATTGCAAAAATCCGCAAACGGAAGATAGTACAAAATATAGCCAATTGTACAAGCATTCGAAATGTGTTAGACACTTCAGGTGAGGCACTGCAAAAGTTTGTGTACTGTTTGTGTCTCCTGCCGGCCAGATTCGCGGCTCACAGTAGGGCCCCACTTTGGGGCCGCAACAGCAGCAAATCCACAATCGTCGTCACGTTTACTCCCCCTTTTCGGGGCCTCTTTGTTGGTGCTCCGTGGCGGCGTTGGCACTTTGGCTGATAAGTGGCCTAGCGAGTCAACTTAATTAATCAGTGCCCTGGAGTCGGGGCAAGTCAATTGGAAATTAGGAACCGCCGCTGCTGGATGAATCAGCTGTGTGCCCAAATTTTCCAATTATGGTGCACTGCCGAAGCTCTGATTGCCCCGTTCCCACACTCTCTCCTCTCTTGTTTCCGTAGGCTGACTCTCTACACGACTGGGAATCGCTGCTAGAAACGATGGTGCCGCCAAAGGAAAATGTCGACCTGGAGTGCTTCCTGGTAACGAAGCACTCGTGGAAGGGCAAATACAAGCGCATTCTCTCGATCGGCACAGCTGGCATTTCCACCTACAATCCGGACAGGTTTGACCTGACCAACAGATGGTCCTATTCGGATATCGTGGCGGCGGCGCCCTCCAAGGCTTCAAACGTAAGTAGGAAGATGTCTTTAAGAGCTCTTTATTATTTATAATTTGTTTTCAGATACCCAATGAGTTTGTGCTGACCATAAAGAAAGATAAGAAACTGGATACTATTAAATTATCTTCGGAGTACCGCAACGACATACTCACATCGATATTGAAATATTACAAGGAGTTTGCCGACAAGCCCAAAAATTCTCAGGTTGAATAACGCCCCTAAATATAGTCTGCAGAAATACTAAGTTATATACGAAATCTTTACAGCGCTTCAATGCCTACAAGTACCACTGGTCCAGCGTCAGCTTGCCCACTGTGCTAGAGGTTACGCCCTGCTCGCTGGACCAGCTGGATCCCACCACCAATGATGTGCTGGCCAGCTACATGTACAAGGACATCGAGGGAATAATAGGTAGCTATAACACACTCTGCTCGCTTCCATCAACCACAAGAGTACCTCGTTCTATCGCCATGTACCACAAATTTGTTTTAATTCAATGTGTACGCTTTGTTTTTCATTTCTGTCGCTTTGCCGCACTCATCTTTCTGGTATTTGTTTACGTTTGCGCACGTTTTAAGCAGGCATCTCGGACTATGAGGGCGGAATTGTGATGGCCTACGGCGGCTTTAGTCGCTTGCATTTGTTCAGGGCGCTAAACCACCACGAGATAGTGCAGAACATAGCCCAGCGATCGGTTCAGTTTTTGGGCATCGAGACCAAAATACTCAAGAGTCAGATTACACTGGAGCAGTTCGAGAGGCAGCGGTTTGGCAAGTTCAGGTGAGTTTGATTGTAAAACGGAAGATGCGCTGATACTAAATAGTTATCCTTCCTTATGTATTCAGCGGCGACCAATTTCAAACCTCCATGACCGAGTTTACGGTGCAAAAGATAACGCCCCGCCATCCGGAGCCTGTCAAGCGCATTCTTTGCCTCACCGAGGTTACGCTTCTGGAGCGAGATCCTCAAACGTACAGCGTCTGCACCCTGCGTCCGCTCGCCGATGTATTCGCCCTGGTTCGTGACAAGGACAATCTGCAGCGCTTCAGCATCGAGTACAAAAACGGTATCGTGCGCAGTTACAGCACCAACGATCGCGATTCCCTCCTGGCCACTGTCCTAGACGCCGTGCGCTCCAGTGGCAATCAGGATGTGCACATACGTATCGGCAACACGCCCCGGGGAAAGCGATACGTGCCGCTGAGCAGTTCGGTGGACGAAGAGACTGAAGCAAACCTTATGCGGCTGGTCATCAACAATTTCCAGAACCCCTCCAAGCGCTATGAGATCCTAGAGCGTTTCAATGCCAATATCCCGCACAGTGGCCTCAACTACAGTGTAACGCAAGATGTAGGCTTAACCCCGAGCGTAGTTTCTTAATAATCCTAACTAATTGAAAAATTCCAGAGCTTATTCGCCGAAAACAAGGATAAACTTATCCTAAGTGCTCTGCAGGCGTTGGCCCAAAAAGAGCTGGACAGTCCGACGGCCCAGCTGAGCAACATGGAGTTGGAAGCCATATTTCATGCCCTTACGCGTCTTCTGGCCAGCAAAGTGGGCTACGCGGCCTTTACCAATCTCCCGGGGTGAGAAACCTGTCATCAATGCCCTCATAAACATTTATTTATTTTCGAATCCTTGCAGATTTCGTGAGATCATCGGTACCAAGGTGGTGGCCGCTTTAAGACGCAAGGATCTGGCTGTGACATACTCCGCCATTGACATGATCAACTCCCTGATGCATTCAGTGAATGCTGACCACGACCTGAAGCAGGAGCAGTTGAATAAGTCATCCATTCTGTCATCCAAATCATTTCTAGAAACCTTGCTGAATATGTGGACAAACCATGTGGTAATCCAGGCATTAGTTTTGTAGAGGAGTAGATTTTCACCAGATACTCTTCTATTTGCAGAGCCATGGAAGCGGAGCTCTGGTGCTGTCAGCCATGCTGGACTTTATGACCTTTGCCTTGTGTGTGCCTTACAGCGAGACCACCGATGGCAAGCAATTCGATATTTTGCTGGAACTGGTCGCTGATCGTGGTCGATACCTCTACAAGCTGTTCCAGCATCCGTCGCTGGCGATCGTGAAGGGTGCCGGTCTGGTTTTGAGAGCTATCATCGAGGAGGGAGAGCTGCATGTGGCCCAACAGATGCAAGCTCTGGCCTTGGATGAGGCGGCGCTGTGCCGCCACTTGCTGGTGGCCCTGTACACCCCGTCCAACGATCCCACGCAGACCACACATCGACAGTTGTCGCGCCACCTGATCGGACTGTGGCTCACGGACAGTGATGAGGCCATGGAACTTTTCAAGCGCATATTTGTGAGTTCTTTTTAGTTGAAATTCTGACCGAATTTCACCCATTAATGTACTCCGCAGCCCGCCGGTCTGTTGACCTTCCTGGAGTCTGAGGATGAAGTGCCGGAGTCTGATATCGAGGAGGACAAGCTCAATTTCCGCGACAATCTTAAGTTTGCAATTCAACATTCCAACAAGACTCGAAAAAATGTGATAGAAAAGCATTTGCAAGGCATCAAACACTGGGGCATGAACCTCATTGAGCAGCAGGACGGAGCGGCTCAGGCTTTGAAGAATCGTCCAGTTGTGCTGCGCAATCGACGGCAAAAGAAAAAGACCTCTGATGCCGTGGTGAATCTGCCTTACTTCTTCTACAGCTTTGCCAAAGATCACAGTCTGCCAAATCTCATCTGGAATCATAAGGTGATTGAGGGATTCTCAATAGATTCTTGTTTGATATTAAAATGTTTTCCCAGACCCGCGAGGAACTGCGCATGTGCCTGGAGAACGAACTGCGACAATTCCTTAGCGATCGCGACCTTGCTGGCCAGATGATTGTGGCCTGGAACTATCAGGAATTTGAGGTGGCCTACCAGTGTCTGGCGGATGAAATCAAGATTGGAGACTACTATATACGCCTGATACTGGAGAAGGATGACTGGCCACAGAATTTGGTGAAGGATCCGTAAGTACTTCTTTTATTTTCTAAGAGGACTTTCTCAAGGGAATTCGTTTTTTGCAGAATTGAACTTTTCAATGCATTGTATCGACGAGTGCTGTGTCGGCAGCGTGTCAACGATGACCAGATGACCGTGTTCTCTCTGCAGGCCTTGGCCAAAGTGTACAGGCGTTACCACAAGGAGATTGGCAAATTCAACGACATGTCGTATATCCTCCAGCTCAGCGATCGGGTGAGTTTGAAGAAGTCTTCATTTCATTTCATATTTAAACCCATTTTTCTCTCTAGTGCCTTTCTCCCTCCATGCGTGATGCCCTGATCAACCTCATATCGTGCCTAGTCCTGGAAAAGTCAAACTGTAGGGCGCTCGTCGATCATGTCCAGTGCTTGGTAGACCTAATCACCTTGGCCCATTTGCACAAGGGTCGCGCTCAACTCAATACCAAGTCGAACGTGATTGAAGCGGGACCAAATATGGCTGCGTACGAGGAGAAGGACTGGTACTACAACATCGAAAAAGATGGTCAGAAGCCGGAACGCCAAGGACCAATTACCTATTCTGAGCTCAAGGAACT